ATATTACACCAAAGCGGATTCAAGATCTCATAAATTTCTAACTCACATACTTTATCAATGAAATGTAATTAAAATCATTCCAAAACTCATCCCCATCCCGAATATTTAATAGAATCAAATTCCTATTTTTCTCATGAAAGTGAAATCTCGGAATCTTCAAGTTCAATCATAATTCTTAATAAGCCTAAGTGAATGTTCCAACACTTAACCAATTATATCAAAATCTTCTCTTGACTATAATTATAAAATATAATACGAGTGTTCACTTTCCAATTATCAACATCAACCCCATCAAATTATACCAAGGAAAATAATAAATAACTAAAAGTTTTGATAACTCATTTTTGTTTTAATCTAATTCATCCATTTGCTCCAAATGAGCTAAAAACACATTATTTTCTTTTCTTGTCAAAGACCACCAAAACCATTCAAATATCTCATAAAAATATTGAAGTATGAAATTATTATCATAACATTACTCAACTAGTAAAACTAGAAGCCCAATACTAAATCACCTCAACTTAACTAATAATCTAAGTTCAACTTTGTTTCACACCCAAACAACTTCATCTCACCTATTTTCTCCAAAATCTCATTCTTATGAAATATTAACATTTCTATCCCACTATATTAAAAGTTATGGTATAATCTCAATAACATACTTTTAACCAAAATTTAATCCACTAAATTAGTAATTCTATTATCTTCACATTTTTACAAAAGAAATAATACCAAACATGTAATGCCCCGAAAATTTGGCATGATATATCTATTTATGCAACAAAACCACATGATAGACAAACATATATATATAGCTAACAAATCCATACACCCATTTCCACTAAATCTCAAATGTCAAATACATGTTGTTCACATCACAATGCCCCAGTTCTAATCCCATACATGCATTTTACAACAAGTATGAAATGGAAACCAAACAGATAATAAGTGCCCTACAGGTTTATAAATTTATCCAAGAACATTCTTGGTTACACAAAAATGGAGTTTCAACTCAATACAAATATAGCCCTGGGCTTACATTCAACAAATAACAATAAAACAAAAATGAAGCCTCAGCTCCGAGTCCTCTCAAGTCAATGCCTTGGCGGAGGCATAGCACCTGTACCTGAAATGATTTCCCTTATAGGGTGAGGCACAGCCTAGTAGAGATATACTACACAACATATGAACAATGACAAGACTAAAGAGGAGTATGCTCATGCCATGCTCATGATAAAACAGTTTATCTCTCTTTTTATAAAGCATGCAATGCTGAGATGCAACAACAAATATAAAATCATTTCCATTTTAAACCATATCTGATACATGAATACGGGCCCTGTGAATCTCTAGGAGAGTGTTTGCAAGTAGGCCCTAATGCACTACCACTGTCATTTTTACCAGTAAACTGGAAGGCTCGACACCTAACCGCACGGTTCCACACCCCCTACCCAAATTCACCAAGTATTCATCTTTTCGCAAATAGATACATTTCCAAACATTTCTCAAAAAAACAGATACATTTCCAATGAAATGAATGTAATGCAATGCCCAATGCAACAAATGAGGAATGTGGTTCAATTTACCTAAGTCTTATGCATTTCTACAACAATCATGGCTATTCTCCACCGATAGCGCAAAACAGATATTTCTAACAGATATTTAAATAATTAAATTCCACAAATTGCGATAAATACAATCTATTCCACATCTCATCAAATATGAACAGCTACACTAGTTTTCATATCACAATCACGTCTGGTAACCTCTCAAGGTTCATTTCTAATCGTGTCGGTTTTATACCAACAGATACATTAAGCAAAATAATATCGTTAATGCCCAACAAAATATCATTTTCTTTCCAAACTCATTCTCCAAGCATTATTCAACTATGACATCCTATTTTGATGAAAAGCCCCCAAAATTAAATGCAATTCCTTTGTTTTCTTTAAAAATGCTCTTTTGGTCACAAGTAGGTAAAAATTTCAAAACCAATCGAATTGAAGTCCATTTTTGTTCAAATTTAAAACATAGCTCTTTCGTAACCTTACAAACATATTCCAAGTATACACTTTCACAATTTAGGCATCAACTTTTTATTTTTCTCAAAATTTCCCTTTTAAGCAAATAAATCACGAATTTCTCAAAAATTCTAATTAAATTATATGCAACTCTAATGTCACGCCCCAATTTTCATGCCCAAATGGTAACACAATAGTCATGGCTCTTTAAAGTAAAACTGATAATAAATCATCATACTTGCATTACATGATGTAAATAGTCTTCATGCAATAATACAATTGATCCAACAATAATTAATTAAACAACAAATACCCCCAAGGGTTTACAACTTTCCAAGGCTTGAGCTTGGTTACACAAAACGGTTATTCAAACCCACACATACAAAGCCCTTGGCTTACAATTAGAGTCACAGCAAATGAGCACATTATGCTCTCTGCACATACTTCCACGCCTTCAGTTAGGCGGAATCACCACATCTTTTCCTGTACAAAAATCACATAGGGTGAGCATAAAGACCAGTAGGAAATTCTTAACAAAGTATATACATTTTATACAAGTCTCAAGAGATGGAATGCTTATGCCATGCCATGCCTTTTTGAAAATAAAACATATCTTCATCTTTTGAAAACCATCATACTCAATGATGTCATGCAACTTCAACTGTTCAACACTTATCAGTTTTAACCAGAGGGGCGGTAAATACAACTTTGGTAATCCCTAGGTCGGTGTCTGCAAGTCGACTATACAAGTACTACCAAATTGTCATTTTTACTGGTACCAACCAGAAGGCTCGACACCTATCAATTGTCATTTTTACCAGCGTCAACTGGAAGGCTCGACACCAATCAATTGTCATTTTTACCAGTGTCAACTAGAAGGCTTGACACCAATCAATTGTCATTTTTACCAGTGTCAACTAGAAGGCTCGACACCTATCATCTACACCACCTGTCAAGACTTACCACCATATTTACCCCAAACCCAATTCATGAAAACTCATTTCTCAACATTCTCTTCTCAATGCAGGTTTTCAAATCAACTTCAAAGTTCAATGTAATCAAATGAATTGATATGCCAATTCAACAATAATCAATACAATGCTACAATTCTTACATTTCCAATTTTCCCACACAATACTACCATTGTGATCAAAATTCCCATTTTTCCTTTCTATGTAATTTCACATGATGAATAAATATATTTCAATTCATCCGAGGAATAACACATCTTCCATATTTCAAGCGTTTTCAACAAATTATCTATTTCAAGACTAAATCAACATTTTGAATAACAATTTTCAAAATGAATAACAACTCTCATAATTCTCAAAATTTATCATTTATACGATATAAACAAGAAATTTTCCAAACATCACTTATTTTGGGCATTCAAAATAAGTATAACAATATCAACCATGGATTTTTAACTTCTTTTAAAAATTCTCAATTTCTAGGTTTTCTCACCAAAACCATCCATCTTCAAACATTTGAGAAAAATCTCACCAAAATCCTCTTTCTTCAATCAACATAGTTCAAAACCCTCAATTCTATTTTTAAGGAAACAAGAAAGTAAACCCACTTTCAAAAATTATTCACCTTTTTCAATCAACTACCCATTTTCAAAGCAAATCAAAGGATGATTTCAAAATCATCTAGATCTTGCAAAAACATATATATAACTCAAAGAAAAATCCCTACCTCAAGTTTGAAGAAGAAAAGAGTTGAAACCCCCAAAATTAACGACGGTGAAACTCGATCTCCACCGCACACAACGAAGCCCTCGAGAAGTTACACAACTTTAACGAAGGAACTATGGCCAAAATCCCAATGGATTTCGAGAAATCAAAGAAAGAAGATGATTTCTAGAGAGAGAGGCTCTAGATCTGGATCTTGGACACTTTTTGAGAGAGAGAGAGGATTGCAAAAAAGTGATCTGCAATGTCATTTTCGCGAGCTGATAAAAGGCGGTTCGCTCGAGCGTATAAAGCCCCTTTCAAGCATCAGACACAAAACCCTGCTCGAGCGTGAAACCCTGAGCTCGAGCGTGAAATACGCTCTCCCAGTATTTTCTGCAGACACAGTCCCCGCTCGAGCGTCCAAATTCCCGCTCGAGCGTAGAGCAAAATTTCAGAAGCCCGCTCGAGCGGAGAACCAAAATTCTGAGCAACCAAGAGTTTGGAAAAACAAGCAACTAACTTTTTCCAAACACACAATTACAACCCAATAACCAACAATGAGGGGAAGACAAGGGAAACAAGACATGAACCACCATTCAACCCATACAAACCCGAGTTCGGAACACCATAAAGAACGGGTCAAAACCAAGGTCGTTATATCTAAACTCCATATAATCAAGTAAAAGTGCATAAAGAAGTGTATGAAAAATCCCTACCTCAAGCTAGAAGAGGAAACACGTAAAAATCCCAATTTTTGACTTTATTGGATTTTGATTTTCACCAATCAAAACGTTGCTCTCATTAAGCTCCTCACTTTGGATTTATACAATTTGTTGTTATCAACATATCTGTATCATGTCGTTACTGTATCCCATATCCACAGCCATGCTTCAAACATCATAGATCATAGATGTTGTGCAACAAGAATACAAGTGCCTCATTGAATATGATTCACCTAAGTTAGCATGAAGCACAAGTGTCATCAGCACTTTGTCACTATGGTCTCTTGAGACTTATATCATATTGAGCAGAAACCAGTTACCTCACGATTCCTAATTGATAGAGTCATCATCAGTACTTAAAAGAACTTGGGCAAAATCACAAGGAAAGAAGGGGATGAAAAAGATGAAGGCTTTCTAGGCACGGATCTCTGAAGCTTCTTGATAACTTGTCTATAAGAAAGATAGGATGAAAACAAGTAACTGAACTTCGTCTAATTCCCAACTTGGCCACTTATTTTTTATTTGTGTGTAAAGAATTAGTTCACTGGTCCCTGATAACATACACAAGTTAGTCATATAGTTTATCGCGAAGTACAGAAAGTTTCCCCGCTATTTGGAAGAAGCCCATCTTTCACCATTTCGGTAAAAACATTAAATACTGCAGCCATGTTGCCTTCTTTGTGGTTGACCTCAACAAGGACTTTTGCAAGTTGAGCATCAGTAAGCCTACAACTTCTCAGTGTGTTCTCTATAACTTGACTCAAGTCCTTACTTCTCCCTTCTTTGAAAAGTTCTTTTATCAAAGCAATGACAGATACAGTATGAGGAACAAATCCATGGTGCACCATTTCCTTGTAAAGATCCAATGCTTTCTGCAAATTTCCATCCCTACAATGACCATGTATAATAACATTATAAACTTCTTCACTAGGCTTGCAGTTTCTTTGAAGCATTGATTCAAAAACGTGATCTGCTTCATTCATCAAACCATGCATGCATAATCCCTTTATGAGAGCTACCACATTCTTAAACTCGGTATTACTATAATTTTCTATCAGTGTAGTATATGTGACATCATTTCGAATGGACTCCTCATAAAACAATTTGAAGAGAAGCTGTTTTGCCTCCCTCGTCCTAGCTTGTTTGCTAAGCCCATTTAATAGCACATTATAGGCAACAACATCAGGAATGAATACCTTTTTTATCATCTCATCATGCAAATGAAGAGCACTTTTAATATCTCCTTCTGCACAATAAGCATTAATCAGAGTAGTATATGTGCATTCATCAGGAGGTAGATCCAATCTCCATATCTCATGGAAAATATCACAAGCCTCAGTCAGTCTTCTCTGCTAGCAGAGACCTTAAATCAGCGATGAATAAGCAACAACATCTAGCGAAACTCCTTTATCATTCATTCCCCATCCCTTGACATCTCTATCAGGATCTGACTAGAATAAATCACACAGTAAACCAGTGTCAGGAACAGGAGTAGGACGGGGTAAGTTTCTAATCAGATCCAAGTTTGTAAGATCAGGGGAAAGGCCACCGTACTCGAAGAGCCATAACAAATCACTATACTGCCCATGAATAAAGAGAAAAAAAGGTTGTAACTAAGAAGAGAGAGAAAGAGATATATTAATATTTAAACCCCTCCTCCTACTCATCATACCTCATGAGAGAGAGACAAGAGAGTGCATTATTCTCTCTTTAATCATTTTCTTCCACCAAAAGTGAGCAACCCTCTCAAATAATTTTCCACCACCACATTTTTATATTTTATTTGGGTCTTTACAACCTACCCACCTTAAAGAAATTTTTCCCTCGAAATTAAACTCAAGTAATGTAATACATTCTACAGTCACCCACAAACTCACTCAGATACTTACCATTGCATCAACAAAATTCTTTGACCTCTACCTGAGCCAACAACTAGTACACCGATAACGAACCAAATCATTACTTTGCACCGCAATTGATTATATAATCCCTTACTAGTATAAACCATTAAATGATTCTTCCATCCACATTGATAACCCATAGTAACAAAATAGGATCTATTCCCTTAAGTATAACAAAACAACTCCCCAGAATACCAAGACGCCATACCTTATTGGCGATAACCCAACTTCAATGAACTATCGTCATCGCCTGATGCACAATGCATCTTGTGACCAAAATAACTATCACTATTTCGAGACCTTAACAAAACGAAATAATAACTCTTCAAAAGCACTAACCACCAACTCAAATAGTGACCGTCAACCGTTACAAAACAAACAATACCTTACCAACACTATTCTACATCACACTAATATTACGATAACCCATGAGATCAAACCAAAATTAAACAACTTTTACTACACTAACTCACTTATAGACAAGTACTAATACTGCTCTTGAGGCCAGTTAACTGAATAGTCAACCTCTCACCCTGGGAGTATACAAAACCAATCACGATAAGATGCATATAAAGATTAACACTGAAACGGTTCTAAAATTCCCAAATAGTTAATAAATAGTTTAACCTTGCTGAATTAAAATCAATTACAACCATAGAAACATAATCATGGCATGATAACACAGCCTCCCAATTAAACATAAGAAATTCACCCTACTCCATAACATATACAATGTACATCCTAATATCAAAACAACATTTCTATCACAATTCCCAACACATCGATAAAAAGGTTCCAATACTTCTCATGGACTTCCACCTCACGTTCCCAAGTCGCCTCCTCAACCCTGTGGTGTCTCCACAACATTTTCACCAAGGGACAAATACGAACAAAAGATACACAGACACATTTGGAGAATATGCTGTTACTGACAAGGAATATTTTATCTATGGACGTCAGTGAGCACATGTCGTTACTACGACAGAATCTTCTATAAGCTGACGTCATCACGTGTAAGCAAAATATGCAAAAAGGAAATAAAACACGAATGCAGGGATACGGGGTTTCGAACCCCCAACCTCAGGCTCGGCCTCTCCATCCTTAGACGCCGAACCAGACCACTTAACCAAGTCACTCTTATGACAAAATTAGTCGAATAAATGTATATAATACATAAATATACAATATATATATATATATACATATATGTATACAACTTTCCTGCTTCTCTCTCTTCCTTCGAAAACTGCGTCTGACACGTGGCCTTGCTTTTGTTTCATTGGCCGACAAAAGCATCTCTCCTCGATTGCCGCTCGTCTCGGCTATCTCTTCCTCATTGTCTTCTTCTCTTCTGCATTCTTCTGAATCAGTATCTTCCCTCGTCTTCATCATTCTCTTCCATCTCCTTCTTCTTCATCATTCTCTTCCATCTCCTTCTTCTTTATCACTCTCTTTTGTTTCTTCTTCCTTATCGAGAGAAAAAAGAGAGATTGAACGGAGAAGAAAAGTTGTCCCAAAACTCAATATGTTCTCTGTTATTTCTCTGTGACTCCTTTCTTTCTTTTACACTCCTCACTACACATGGCCTCATCTCGTCCTCTCACTCGCTTTTCTGGACCTCAATGATCCAAGCTGTTCTGGACCGAGTGCTCCTGCTCCTACTCTTCCTAACCTTCTTGGACCGAGTGCCTCTACTCCTACCCTTCTTAACCTTCCTGAACAGAGTGCCCCTGCTCTTACTCTTCTTAATTTTCCCATGATGTCAATTAAGCAAATCATGGCTACTCAATCTGACGTTGAGGCCAACCACTTCACACTAAGATCTTGCATAGAGACAGTGGCTGCGGTTACCAAATTATCTCACCGGCTGCAGAATAGGACCAGTGAAGTACAACAGTTAAATGCCCAACTTTCTCTGCTCCAGCGCATGTACAATGATGCACGAGCAGAGATTTGTGCGTTGAAGGCGGAGAATAAAGAGCTAAAATGGAAGACCACCATTATGGCCCGATTCGGAGCACCTTCGTACTTTGCCTTTGACAGCCAGCAGGGAGTCAACTCTCTCGGCGGTCCTGTACGCATTGAGACAAGGCCTTCAAGGGTCTCCCAAGATGATGAAAAGAGAAAGAGTTTGGCGGGAGAGTCAAGTAAGTGAAGTCGACATGTGGCTATTATCAAAAACAAAATCCTTCTCCTTTTTTTTTTCCTTTCCTTTTTTTTTTTTTTTATGTTATCTCTGCAATCAGGGATGTCATCCTCTGACTTCAATAAAATCAGTTTTTTTTTTTCACTAATGGCGTAACTGGCATAACACTTTGAGCTTGAAAACAATTTTGTTTGACTAAATTTCAAAATGATTAAATTTTGAACTCTGAACTAGACATTGATTCCATACTGTCCTGGATCAAAATCATAGCTTAATGAAAGAAAAACAAAGCAAAACAATCCAAACACACTTATATACACTGACTGGTATTAACGAAAGAAAAAACCGTGCAAATCAATGCATTGGCAATAGAATTATAGAGCAAGAAGGTACTTCTCACAACCGAAGGTGCTGGCACTAACTTTGGCGTGGTAACAGCATACACACGCCTAGTAGGTCTCTGGTCCACTTGTTCCCCTCCTTCTGTGCCGGAATCTCATCCGGTATTGGCATCTTGTGCCTTCTGGCCCTACCATGCCTACCACTTCCCCTTCCACGTCCAAACATCCTAATAAAGGTAACACTCAAGATTGGCACAGTCACAATTGTGCCGAAACTAACTCACTCATGTCCTAAGGCAATGGACAACAGTTAATTCATTCCACATAAGCACATAGTCACATAAGCACATACAGATTTTTTTTCTAGATAATGACTGTCTCATGAGATTGCTAGAGTTCTAATCAGAAATAGCAGTGATCAAGTGCTCTTCTGACTGGACTTCCAGGAACTGACAGACCCAATCAATATCTCAGAAATAAAACCCCATACCCACATAATCACATAAGCATGTTATCACATAGCACCTCATCATCCCGATATTTCTATCAAGCAAGATAAACCCAGTGTGGTGCTAACCACTCCCCACGTACCCAAAGTATTCGAACCTGGTACACTCTGATACCAAGTTGGTACGCCCCGAAAATTTGGCATGATATATCTATTTATGCAACAAAACCACATGATAGACAAACACATATATATAGCTAGCAAATCCATACACCCATTCCCACTAAATCCCAAATGCCAAATACATGTTGTTCACATCTCAATGCCCCAGTTATAATCCCAAACTTGCATTTTACAAAAAGTATGAAATGGAAACCAAACCGATAATAAGTGACCTACAGGCTTACAAATTTATCCAAGAACATTCTTGGTTACACAAAAATGGAGTTTCAACTCAACACAAATACAGCACTGGGCTTACATTCAACAAATAACAATAAAACAAAAATGAAGCCTCAGCTCCGAGTCCTCCCAAGTTAATGCCTTAGCGGAGGCATAGCACCTGTACCTGAAATGATTTCCCTTATAGGGTGAGGCACAACCCAGTAGAGATATACTACACAACATATGAACAATGACCAGACTAAAGAGGAGTATGCACTTGCAATGCTCATGATAAAACAGTTTATCTCTCTTTTTATAAAGCATGCAATGCTGAGATGCAACAACAAATATAAAACCATTTCCATTTTAAACCATATCTGATACATGAAGACGGGCCCTGTGAATCTCTAGGAGAGTGTCTGCAAGTAGGCCCTAATGCACTACCACTGCCATTTTTACCAGTAAACTAGAAGGCTCGACGCCTAACCGCGCGGTTCTACACCCCCTACCCAGATTCACCAAGTATTCATCTTTTCACAAATAGATACATTTCCAAACATTTCTAAAAAAAACAGATACATTTCCAATGAAATGAATGTAATGCAATGCCCAATGCAACAAATGAGGAATGTGGTTGAAATTACCTAAGTTTCATGCATTTCTACAACAATCATGGCTATCCTCCACCGATAGCCCAAAACAGATATTTCTAACAAATATTTAAATAATTAAATTCCAAAATTTTCGATAAATACAATTTATTCCACATCTCATAAAATATGAACAACTACACTAGTTTTCATGTCACAATCACGTCCGGTAACCTCTCAAAGTCATTTGTAACCATGTCGGTTTTATACCAATAGATATATTAAGCAAAATAATATCGTTAATGCCCAAGAGAATATCATTTTCTTTCCAAACTCATTCTCCAAGCATTATTTAACTATGACATCCTATTTTGATCAAAAGGCCCCAAAATTAAATGCAATTCCTTTGTTTTCTTTAAAAATGCTCTTTTGGTCACAAACCGGTAAAAATTTCAAAACCAATCAAATTGAAGTCCGTTTTCGTTCAAATTTAAAACGTAGCTCTTTCATAACCTTACAAACATATTCCAAGTTTACACTTTCGCAATTTGGGCATCAACTTTTTATTTTTCTCAAAATTTCCCTTTTAAGCAAATAAATCACGAATTTTCCAAAAATTCTAATTAAATTATATGTAACTCTAAACTCCCTATAATCAAGTAAAAGTGCGTAAAGAAGTGTAGGAAAAAACCCTACCTCAAGCTAGAAGAGGAAACAAGCAAAAACCCCAATTTTTTACTTTGTTGGATTTCGATCTTCACCGGTCAAAACGTTGCTCTCACCAAGCTCTTCACTTTGGATTTATGTAATTTGTTGTTATCAACATATTTGTATCATGTCGTTACTGTATCCCATATCCACATCCATGCTTCAAACATCATAGATCATAGATGTTGTGCAACAAGCATACAAGTGCGTCATTGAATACGATTCACCTAAGTTAGCATGAAGCACAAGTGTCATCAGCACTTTGTCACTATGGTCTCTTGAGACATATATCATATTGAGCAGAAACCCAGTTGCCTCACAATTCCTAATTAATAGATTCATCATCAGTACTTAAAAGAACTTGGGCAAAATCACAAGGAAAGAAGGGGATGAAAAAGATGAAGGCTTTCTAGGCACGGATCTCTGAAGCTCCTTGATAACTTGTATATAAGAAAAGTTGGATGAAAACAAGTAACTGGACTTCGTCTAATTCCCAACTTGGCCACTTATTTTTTTATTTGTGTGTAAATAATTAGTTCACTAGCCCCTGATAACATATACAAGTTAGTCATACAGTTTATCGCGAAGTACGGAAAGTTTCCCCGCTATTTGAAAGAAGCCCATCTTTCGCCATTTTGGTAAGAACATTAAATACTGCAGCCATGTTGCCTTCTTTGTGGTTGACCTCAACAAGGACTTTTGCAAGTTCAGCATTAGTAAGCCTACAGCTTCTCAGTGTGTTCTCTATAACTTGACTCAAGTTCTCACTTCTCTCTTCTTTGAAAAGTTCTTTTATCAGAGCAATGACAGATACAGTATGAGGAACAAATCCATGTGTAGACGCGCCCTTGGGCTTCATGCTACAGTTGGTACTCAAATGTCACGGTTCTTAATCTAATCCCGCAAAGTGCAATGCAAGACCGATAAATCACCAAAGAGTCCAAATCCAAAAAATCATTTTAGAAAATTGATTTTTGTAAAGAAGTGCCAAACATGGACTGCTTTGCCAGATACAGAGTCGCCACCTAAATATTTATTTTGGGGAAATTTAGGAAACCCTGACTCGTGCCTAAGGCCACGTGTCCGTCATCACCAAAGTTGCCTCGGCTCGAGAACTTGGGTACGAGAGGGGAAGGTCATCTATGAGCACCCCCGCTCGCCCGATCAAAGATCGGCCTGTACTAAGCATGATATCTTGTTTTTGAAAACACATGCGTTCTTATTCCGGTTATTAGCTAGAATTACTGTGTGATGCGCACAACACACAAGTACAGACTAGATCGTTTAATTTGGAACAAAGCATCGCATATCCATTTGTTTGAAAATGGTTTGAAGTTTGCTACTCGCAAGTAGGCTAAAATGCGGATTTGATGAATTGTTCCAATTCAAGTAATCCAACCTTCACCCACAGGCATTCAGACAGTTATATCATATAAGCGATTAGCCTCATGGAAAGCATGATGTCATGGCAAAACTCACACTCATGCAAGATGCTAAAGCATAAACACTCACAGTGTACTCCGAGCCAAAACAAGAAACTAGTTAGAAATCATGCATGATCCTAGTTCATGTTAAAATGGCTAATGCATCACATGCAAAGTGAAACTACAATAGGCTCGGCTAATCTAAAATGGCATATGAGATGCGACAATTCGATACATGTATTCAATTTGGAATTGAAATACAATGCAGTTAGTATGATGCGCCGAGCCTGGTGCATGTAATACAGATGAATGGTGCAAACATGCATAGCATAAGGATGCTAATTGAAATAT